CCAGTATCGTCAAATGAACAGACATTTAATACTACTACCACAGATAGCATGCAAGAAACCACGGCACGTAATGAAAATTCCCCAATACCCACTGCGAATAACTCGTTCCATTCTCCTGCACCTCCATCATCAATGACAATGCAAAGGTTTCCAAGCATGGACACCATTTCAAACAAGGGGACAATGATGAATGGTGATGGCTCCCTTTCATCTCATTCTAGGCGAACAGCTTCGTGGAGTGGAAGCTTTAGCGATGCATATAGTTCTCCACAGAGGACTGAACTAAAACCTCTAGGGGAGGTATTGGGTATGTCACCATCATCATTTATGCCTAGTGAACCTTCTTTGCCGAGGAATAGTGGCAGTTTTGGGGATGATCTTCATGAAGTAGAACTTTGAGCCCCTGGGGATGTAAATATATCAAGTTTTGGTGCCTCCCTATTGTTAATTTATTGTCCGGCACAATCACTCCCTGTCGTCTTCCAATGCAAAATGTTGGTAGCAGCAGAATTGTAGTGAAGAGACCAATATACCCTTTTTCTTTCCCCCTCCAGTTGTATGTTAAAATGCAGTTGGCTTTACTTAAATGTTTACTGTACTTTTAGGGTTAGATTTTTTTGTTTATTGTCCAGGAGTTGACACCATCTGATGCTTAAGGAGCTGGTGTTTTCTTAGTATAAAAGCGATGAAAGCTTGGCGAGGCTGCTAATGTACAGTTCATTGTTTCATTTATTCAGAAAAGAAAATGTCACTTTAAGATGATTCAAGAAACATTTATGCAGAACTTTGCAGTGGGAGAAAGATAAGGGTATTAAGTTAAAAGAATAAGATGTTGACCCTAGTTGGTAGGGTTTATTGTCAGCTTATTTTAGCTTTTAACTTAATTTAAGGTATTTTGGTGTGTTTGATTTAGCATAATAATATAGATTTTAGTTTTTTGTAAGTCAAAAATTAACTTTTTCTTTGAGTGAGAGTAGAGAAGTTTTTCGGATTAGCTTAAGTGTGCAGTTGCAATTTGAAGGGCAAAATGACTTAAATGCCTTTCACAATTTCAAGTTATTACAAGTGTATTATGTATATAAACAAAAAAACACTCATTTTTGTCTCTTGCACGAAGGTGTTTGGCAATTTCTGGTGATTTTCGAGTGATTTCTGGCGAACAATAGTTTTCTCTCTTCTCCTCTCACACACGAACTAGAGGCGGTGAAACCCTAGCTCCTCGATCTGCTTTGTTGTTGGAAATCGCACATGCATCGTGTATATATGTAAATATTTGTCTCTATTCATTTCATGAATAGATTTCTGTTTACTCACTCTTTATTGTGATCTCGATCTTTTTCGCCGTCGTTTCGCCACAATTGTTTCTCTGGTCCATCGTTTTGCCGTCGTTTAGATCGTGTTTTGCCGTTCGCTGTTGCGACATACGGACGAAGAGAAGAAGAATGAGCAAATTTTATAATAAAATGTTATTTTATAATTAAAAAATATAATAACATTGAATTGTTAATGTTAATTAATACTACTTAATAAATTAAAAAAATCAATAATTTTTATATTGGTATCAATATTAATTGGTATTATTTATTAATAAATTAATTATTAATTGATACTAATTAATAACAATTGTTGATTATTAATATTAATTGATACTAATTGATAATTTTAGTATTAATTGATATTAATTAATTTATAATGAAAAAAAATTGTTACAACCATTACATTTTTATCAAATGTATCAATTTTTGTATTAATTGATACTAATTATATTAACTTTTATTAATGAAATATATTTTTTTAAGTTAAAACTGAAAAAAAAAATGACAAAATAATCATTTTTATATTATATAAGGGCAAAAATGAAAATTACACAGTAAAAAGTTATTTTACAGCTTATCAACCAAACACTACTCTGCCGCTTAAATTTATAATGTCACAGTTGCACTAAACAGGTTAACAATTTATGTTCACAGGTATAAGTTATAATCTATTAAGTTATAATTTATAATCACTTTTTCACAACTCTATCAAACGGGCACGCTGTCTTCCCTCTATTTATTGCACTCTAATGCTTAGATGAGTTCAAATTCAACAAACCAGGTGGAGGGTTTTGATCTTTAATTTTTGCTTCTGTGAGTACAGTCACTGTTATTGTTGTTGTTGTTTTTTTCATTATTATTCGAAGAGTTTGTTTTCAAATTTTGAAACTGTAACCTACTCAAGGTCAATCCTTATGGCATAAATATAAAAATTTTTGAGGTTTTTTACCTCAAAATGGAACTGTATGTTGTGTTTGGTTGGAGGATTTTGGCAGGGGTTTGGAAAGGAAAAGGAAAAAGGGGTGTGAAATTATGTAAAATTTAGGCATATTTTATTCTCATTTCACCTACCTTTTTCATTTCCCTTTCTAAATCTCTACTCAAATCTCCTAACCAAAGACAGCAGTAATCTACTTAAGGTCAATCCTTACAGCAGAAATAGAAAACTATTGAAGGTTATTCACCCCAAAGTGGAATCACACCTATTGTGCATGTTGTATGGGAAAGTTGATTAAATGCATGAATTCCTATCCAAAGATGAGTAGGTGTCCAAACGAACCAAGCTACTCACATTTAATTAAGATTTATTAAAAGTTTGTATGAGATCGATTTGTTACATAAGTAGGCCAAGTTCGAACATATTTTAAAACTCTTTTCTCAAGTCAAAGTTGAACAATTTAATATTTAGCTCAATAAGTATATATGTATTATAAAAAATTTAACTACTCAAGTTCGATTCATTAAAAACTTATTCGAGATTGAATTGTTATGTCAACAAGTCAAATTTGAATATGTTTTAAAATTTGTTGACTTTTAAGCCAAGTTCGAACAACATGCTATTTCGTTCAACTTGACTCATTTACAGTTTTATCTCCCTTACTGATATTTCGAGAAAAATTGACCCCAACATTGTCAAACGTCGACAACATGTTGCATAATTTTGTTAATGAAAATTATGTTCGATTTTGTCAATCATAATATGTTGTTCATATCAATGACATTGTGTCCGAAAAGATATAAAGTGAAAACATGTTTTTTTTGCTTTTAAACAATATCCTATTTTGCAAAAACTTGTGAGAGCTTGTGAAAATATAGCATCATAATAATGTGAGGTTTTTGCTAGTTACAAAAAATAAAGGATCCCATAATGAGTTCAATTTAAAAATCCATTGAGATAAAATTACAATGAATTAAGAATCATATTTTAAATATTCTATTTTATTACTTTAAGCAAGATGATTAGGATAACAGATCACTTTTCATGATAATAGATAAATACTTCTCTGATTGATTAGATATAATCAAGAAGATAGATACTCATATTATGCCAAGTTCAAAATTGAGTTTCAATTACAAAACTTAAGTCTTCAATTCCAAAATCACAAATAATTCAAATAATGGTACAAAATGGTAAACTTCATTGAATTTTCATTTATCCTCACTGAAATTTTGCGGGCACAGTGATATTTATTTACTGTAATTGTGAAATAACATTGTGAAATTTCATTGCCATAGTTTTACCATTACAATGAAAATTTGTTGTGCTGACTATGCAGTCACACTTTTCATGACTGAGAAGAAGTAAAAGAAGAGAATAAGGTGACAAGAGAAAGGGAACTAGGGAAGGGGAAGTGGTGGTGGTACTAACAGTAAAGGTTGCTTTAGCATTTGGGGAGTTAAGAATGATGACAAAAACAAAGTTTATTGATAAGTTAAAGTTCTAATACAAAAAAAATGTAAGGGAGAATGCGACACAAATTCCCACTTATAAAAATAATAATAATATTATAAATTCAAACTTAGTTATTTAGAAATTGATTAAAATCATCATTTTGTGATTTAAATTTATTTACACATAAATCTTACATTACACAAATTTAATTTCCATCACACACTCATCCAGAAAATTATGGATAAATTTGTCTGATTTCCAAACTTTTCCGTAAAAAAACCCAAATGTTCTCAATTAATTAACCCTCCAAATCACTTTTTTAAGTAATTGTCTCTCAAATTAAAATTTTAAGTTGGGTAAAAATAAAAGAAAAAATTGTCATTCAGTAAGATTCATTAAAAAAATTATAACTTTAATTATTAATATTACTAAAATTTATCATTATTGTGATTATTTAAAATTTAGGGTTGGACTTTCCTTCCGTCTGTACTGTTGAGTCCGTGGATATCCATCATGGGTTTCGTTTCGATAATCTAAACCGTTCAATGTATAAAATTGGTCGAATACTATATGTCTGAAAAAATCACGTTAATAGGATATCAATAACTACGTAATTAAATCAAATTTGTATTAAAAAATAAACTGTAAAAAAATAAACGGTTGATAGAAATTTAATCTGATAAAATGACTATTAATATCCGATTAACATAATTTTTTTATAAATATATAATACTTAACGAATTCTATATATTAAACTATTCAAATTATCAAAAATAAAATTCTCACATACCTAATGATACCTCCAATCCGACTACAGATGGGAGGGAAGCCTTAGCCAGCGCCTAAAATCTATAACATTAATCAGGCGAGTAACCTAACCTTGATTATACACTCTGATTTGTCCCCAAAAGACTAGGGGGCAGAGAGAGAGACACACACACAAAACCCTAAATTCGAAAACCAGACCTCTCAGTTTCTCTCCATTTCAATTCGTAGAGATGGATTTCTCATCTCTCCCAGAAGACCAGCAACAACAGCTTCAACAACTCCAACAACTCTTTCAAGAACACCGACAACAACAACAGCAAGAACAACAACAGCAACAACAAATTCAAGACTATGCATCGCAAGCTTACGATCCGACTCAAGTTCAAGCCTACGATCAATCTTACTATGGCTATTACCAATACCAACAAGACCCATCACAATCTCATCAATATTCACAGCACCAAGAACAACAACATCAACATCAACATCAACAGCAACAGCAACAGCAACATTACGCTTATTATCATACAGATTACGCCAATGCGTATCAACAACAGCCTCAGCAACACGAACAACCCCAAATTCAACCGCTTTCACAGCCCGAATCGGCTCCGATTCATCAATCGGGCGAATCACAGCCCCAGATCGCCGTTTCTGGGGCTTCTGTGGCGGCGCCGGTGGGGCACCAGCAGCAGCAGAATGCGTATCACCCGCAACAGGGAGGGCTGGTGGTTGGGGGGGAACAGGCCAATCCCGGGTACCCAGTTCCTCCGGGGCTTAACCCGGCTGCGGCAGCGGCAGTGGCGGCGCTTTCGCAATTGACGCAGTTTGCGGGGACTATGGAAGCGGCGGAGAAGGCAATGGCAATGGTAGGGATGCAGGCGAGGGGTAGAGGATATGGGCAAATGATGGGTCCTGGTCCTGGTCCGGGTCCTGGTCCTGGTATGGGAGCATTTATGGGGCATGGACCGATGCTTCGTGGACCGGCACCGTTTCGTGCTCCGGTAGGTTGTCTTTTGATTGGATTAGTCATTTTTTTGCTCATTTGGGTAATTGGTGTTTTGGTTGATTATAATCATTTGTGTAGATTGATATGCTCTGGTTTAGTGTAGTGTAGCACTGTTCAAGTTCATGTTATATTGGGTTTTGTACAAAATTGATAGATTTGATTATTTCTTTAATCAAGTGAAATTCTTGAACCCTCTTACTTAATGTATATGTTAAATCATGTGGTTAACTGAAGGCTTTCAGTGGATTATGGATATGTTAATTATTGTAAACAATGTTTTGTTGAAGAGGGTATACGGAAATGATGCACTCAAGAAAAAAGTGGAATTATTTGCACATCTGACAACAAGAAATGATAGTCATCCATTTCATTGGATTTGGATTTTGGACTATCAGTTTCTAGGGCATGAATGAAAATGCTTGGGCCGTGTTGGCTTATTTTGAGTTATTTGATTTGTTTATCAGTGAACTTCGTGATAAGTTAGTTATATTAGTATATGTGTTTATATAGCTCTTATATATTGTTTTTATTTTTGAGCATTCATTTAGCTTTTGCTGTATTCATTGTATTTTGATAGGGAAATTAAATATGTTTGCAAAATATAATTACTTATTGAGTAAAAGGATAGGGCATTACATCCGTCAGTCTTAAGGTGCACCTATGCCTAGTGCATAGCGACAGGATTAGCCTGCATTCATTACAATCATCTGGACACAACAATTTCTCATTTTGTGTCAATTTTGTTTTGTTTTGTTTTGTTTTTAAATTTTTATTGTGACTAATGCAAATATGTTTTACTTATCCATTGCATCTTTAATTGTTACAATGTTCATATGCCACCCATAAGAAATTATATGGATTTTACTATTGAATATGTGGCTTCTTACTACGACATGTTTCATAGATTTATTTGAAGGAGAGTTCAGAAAATAATTTTATATTGATTTAGGAACCAATTTTGTCCAGTGTTTTGTTGTTCCTCAGTAGAAATGTTCATCAATAATTAGAGTGTGTAGACAACTATCTACATGGAAATTTTAGACATAGGAGCTAACCAACGAAACCTCGTAAAATTCATAATAGTCCGGCATCCAAGGGTTAGGCTTGGACCTCTTTTTGTATTGAGATTGGGTATAGATGACCTTAGCAGTCTATTGGAATGGATTTTATATGGATGTTGTTGAGGGTTCAACCTATGCAATAATTCTCATATATTTGGATTTATTATGCGCCAGGAGAGAGTTAAGAGGGTAGTGGATATGTACATGAGAAGTGATACCAGAGTATCATCGAATGGCTATAAGATAAAAGTTAAACTTCTGTAAGTCATTTATAAACTAGGTTTAATGGTATAGTGAATCACAGGCAAAATATTTGTTGAAAACATTAAGTGGAGGCAAACTGAGGATGCTGTGGTACATGCCAATAAAAGAAAAGATTAATAAGGTCAATCCACGAAAAGAAGAAAAAAAAAAAAAAAAAAAAAAAAAAAAAAAAAAGAAAAAGAAGAAGATAAATGAGAGTTTACTCCATTTGATGTCAAATAGAAGATAAATTTCTCAAGTTGGTTTTGTTTGTTTGTCTTGTGGATCAAAGAAAGGGAGCTTAAATTTAAGTTAAATGTGCCACATGGATTAGAGGAAGGTCAAGAAAATTGAGTTTTTCTGGAGATAAAATTCCCTACGATTTAATGGAGAATATAGCCTTGAAGAACAAACAAAGGTTCCATGTTCAACTGCTTAAGTTAGGGTTTGAGTCTTTGTTGAGTTGATGAGTTTATTATGTTTCCAATAAATTGAGCTTGTGAGCCTTTTGGAGATGCACAATATTATGCTTTTGAGGTGCTGTTACGTATATTTAAGAATGCATCATGCTGGTGAAGTTGCCCCTCATCACTGATGTTAAGTTCAATGTAGGATAGTATAATGCAAAGATTAATCTCTTTTTTTATTTATTTTTTATTTTTTATCCCTGTTCATTGACAACAATATTATTATTGATACTCACAAGAAGGTTAGTTAGTTTTGCCTATATCTTGAGGTATTTGTGGCATTTTCAAGTTGAGGAAATGGAGAAATTTAGCGAGTATCATTCACAAGTAAATTTACAACTTGTGGATCTCTACATTCACAGGTCCCCAAGGTTGTTGCTTCCATAATGGTAATAATGGCAGAATTGTGTTGGTATTTCATGTACTTTGTTTCAGATTTGAAGTATAATTTATTATTTATTTATTTTTTATTTTAACAATTTGTAAGTCCGTTTTTGCTCCAATTTTTATTTTCATGAATCTGAGATTATTTTGCAGGTTGATCAATCACTGTACAGGGGTGGTGGTAGAAGGGGTGGCAGATTTAGAGGCAATAGCCAGGGAAATTTTGGCAATCGCCCACCTAGGTCAGGCGGCACAGGGCCACCTTCCCATTGGAGAGGACGTGGTCGGGGTAGGGGCGGTCCCAGGCACTTTCCACCAAATGGTGCATCATCATCTTCACACCCAAAACCTTCTGCTCATGAGAAGGCAGAGGGTGAAGAGGAAGCAGCACATACAGCTGATAATCATGAGGAACCCGAAGCAATTCAGACATCTGCACTGAAACAGGGGAGCACAGCTCCTAACAAAAGACCTCCACAAGCTGCATGGTGCGAACTGTGTAGAGTTGATTGCACCAGCTTGGAAATACTTGAGCAGCATAAGAATGGAAAGAAACATAAAAAGAACTTGCAAAAAATTGAAGAGTTGCAAAGTACTTGCAAAGCTGTCTCTGAAATACAGTACGAGCAGACATCTGTTGCTGAGTCCAATCCTGAAGTAAATTTGCATACTGAAATTGTCCAGGAGGGTGAAGACAAGAAGCAGACCCTGCCAGAAAATTTGACCACCGAACCTGGTGATAATGAAAACAAAGTGGAGACTGAACAACAAAATGATGAAGCAGAACAGCCTGGAATTCCTGTGGCAGAGCAGTCCAATGTGCAAGGAAGGAAGCCTTGGATGAATCATTTCGATGATCAGAGGCGTGGAATGAAACGCAAGATGAGAGGTGGTCGTGGAGGGAAGCGCATGAAAATTGATGCACAAAGACGGCCAATGGAACCTCCTAAACCCAAAGTGGTGATTCCCTTAATTTGTGACTTGTGCAATGTCAAGTGCGACACACAGGAGGTTTTTGACCGCCATCTTGCTGGTAAAAAGCACATTTCTAAGCTTAAACGATTTGAAGGTCACCAAGCTATGTACGGGCCTATGGGGCTTCAGGCTCTTTATCCACCTAACCCTATTGCACAGTCCTTATTTGTCCCTCAAGGCCCTCAACAAGCCTTTTATGGTCCTCAGGGCTCATATCCTCCTCCAGGGTCTTACATGCCTCCTCAAGCTCACCACTCGGCCCTGTCAGCAGCAGGTACAGGTTCTGAATTTCAGCAGAATCCCAACCATCAAGTGTCAGGTGCTAGTTATGACTTTGATGGCCAGAAAGCTGTACAGGAAGCTCAGCAGCTGTCAGATTTAACAGAAACCAAACAAAATGATGTAGTTGCACAGACATGTGCTGCAAATGGTGTTTCAGAATATGAAGGCAGTGGGTTGAATCTGGACAATACAGGTACAGGAGTGTAGTAGTTTAATTCAGTGACACATGAAGCCAAGCCAGTGCTGGATTATGGAGTTGCCTCTGGTCATGTTGCCTTTCCAGGACTTGATATGCATACAGGGAGGGCTAATCAAGTAAAGAACATGTTGTACCAGAGTATTTGGCACTCTTGCTGAGTTTTATTGGCAATAAAACTGGAACTATTTTAGTTATTTAATCTCTTGGTTTCCTAGAAGTTCTTTTTGGACTAACTATTTTGTGGAACACAGATGTATATCTCTTTCAACTATCATATGATTGAATGTTTAGCTGATATAGAAACACTGATGGTGGTCATTGGTTAATATTCTGCCTTCTGGTTTTACTTTTATTTCCTGAACAAGTGACATTTTTAGTTGAACATGGGGTATCTTGTTAATATGACTCCTATTGCAATGGCAGGTCAGGCCTGAACTATTGTTAACTGTTTTGTCCCTTGGTCTTGGTAGCAGATGGACGTAATTGTTTGCTTATTTTAGGTTCTTCAGGAGTCAGGACTATTTACTAATGTTGTGGTTCAAATTCCAAGGGAGCATTCCGTTATTTTGATGGTTGTGATGGCACTTTTTTAATGATCATGGGAATGTTGAAAGTGATTGAGCTCTGCAGTATCTGATGCAGCTTTATTGTTGCACCTTTAAATCTAATCTATTCTTTACTTTTCAGTTGTGTAATATATATTGCGTTGCTTTTGTATCACATTCCTGTGGAAAGATATTGAGAAATTGCCATCTACATCGTAAGTCCCTGTATTTTATTGCAACTAATGACCTCTTTCTCTTTGGCATGCATGGCTTTGTAGTTTTGTGGTATTCAACTCCTTCAGTACTTCATATATTGGAGAAGTCAAATTGCTATATTCATCGAGCGAGTCTTTTCGAAAGCTTTGCAGGTGTGGGTTTAGAGCTCAGCTCGTGTAATTTGCTTACGTTTTGCATTTTGGAAAATGAACAGGTGCACTATGCCTCCCATGTAAGGGGGGCTGATTGTTTATGGTCTGTTGTCATGGATGACAGTCCTGGAGGCTAACATCATCGGATGATGCCCCACTTCAATCAATACCGTCTCTCTAGACATGTTAATACCGTAAATACTTTTTTCTAACCAATTAAGATGGGTATCCCATGAATAAGCCACATTGGAATTCAAGAAAGGTTGCCAACAAAGGTCTTAGCAAAGTCAGGGACTTTGTGTTGAGGTAAATGAAAATTCTTCCAGATCAATGATAAAAAGCTTCCACACTGGGTATTGGATTTGTCAAAAATCTGAAGTTGTCAATCGGAGTGGAAACTTTTAAAATCTCTACCCAAAGTAGAGGCTTTGTGTTATTGTGTAATATCAAAAGATTCTCCAATTTGATTGGAGGCTTTAAAGAGCTTGTCAAGTACTTTACAACGCAAAATGTTCTATAGTAGTTTCAGTCTTTTCTAAAATCTCCATGATTGAACCCCGGTGCAGAGGATTTTGGGAATGATGCTGTGATGGAGGATTCGGTAAGAAGTTTGAGAAGCTTGCTGGGTCTCAGGTATTTTGCTTCAATTCCTGCAAAGGTTTTGTTTAATTCTTTGGATTTTGCAATTATCTGTTCGGTTAGTATCGAAGATTAGGCTTTGTGTGCAACGATCAGTTTTCCAATTGGATTAGCCTTTTTAGTTTGTACCATATGAATTAATAGTACAGTGCCCTCTAAGGGATGCTATAATTTGTTTATTGTTTTTTGGTTAGAGTTTTGTTTAATACTTAATGCAAATTCTCGTGGTTGATTACTTGAAGAAATCATGCCTGTCTGAAAAGTAATCCTTACAGTTTGTGTTGAAAAATTTGCACAGGAGCATTTCAATAACTTAATCTGGTCCTGATGGTAAAACTTGTTTATTCACCCAAGGAACTTGAGAGAGCCTGTAGACTGGATGTGATTTAGTAGTTTATGGGTGAAATAAGGGCATCTAAGTAGGGAAAAGGCATTCTCCCTGCTTGCTTGCGGAATTTTAGGACTTGATGCTGTCGTGTGGAGGTTGTTTTTTTTTTTTTTTTTTTTTGGGGGGGGGCACAGAAAGAAGAAAGCTTGGATTGTGGCAGCTTTATGTGTTATGTGGTGCATGGGGAGAGAGAAATGAATAGACATATTTTTAAAGAGACCGTGTTAAGGATTCAAAGGCTTAAGGTAATTCTTTTGCATAGTTATCATTTTTGGTGTCAAGGAAATTTTTTTTCCTGCATCCTCTTTTCTTGTTGTAGATTCCATAGGTGAGCTCAAGTTTTGTTTTCGGGCCATTTTGATCTCCCATAGTTTTTGTATGAAGTTGGAGATTGAACGTATTAATGAGAAAAAACTTCATGAACCTCTTTTTTATTTTTTTGATAAGTAACTTCATGAAATCAAAATCTTAGCCAATGTAGCTCATCTTCTTTCCAAAAATAGAAGTGATAATAGTCAAACAGAATGATCAAACCTTTTTCCCGTTCCCTTGCCTTGATGTCATAGATTACTCTTTCAATTTTTTTTTTACATTGACGAGGTTGACAGACATACTGTTTATTATATGGCTGTCTCTTCAGTAGCGCTTCAATATCTCTCCTCCCTGCAATGCTAAATTTAGCCTAAAACCCCACTAGGAGAAATATCATGTTGAAAATGTGCAGAAACATGGACAACGTAGGTTTCTTGTTGTTGTTTAGAAACATTGGAGATCCATATGACTGAGGCATGAAGGAAGTATTAAGAGTGACTTGCGCAATCATCTCCATAATGAACTGATGTTTTACTGGAAAATAGTTTCTATCAAGGTTTTTATTTATGCAAGTCTGTTTAATTTCATATTATTCGTCAATATTTACAGTTTTTAAAATGTTAGGAGTATTAACTAAATATGAAGCTTAAAGTGGTGATGGTATCTGATCTTTGTTGTCTAAATACTAATCTTGCAGATCCCCTAGAGATGCTGAGTCTCAACAAAATCGTCGTCTAATGTGAGGTAATTTCTTCACTATCATTGCTTTTTCCCCATGCTTTCTATCTTTGGCAGTATTGGTGAGAAATAAATCTGTTCAGCATTCACTTGGACTTGGGGAGTCCTCCTCAATTAGGTTAGTGCTTACCTATTTGTAGAGCTATTAAAGTAAATTTATGTTTTGAGTTCCCAATCATTGCCTAGGACATTCTTATTTGGAGATATAGTGCAGTGCAAGGCATTTCTTATATGTTGGTATATGGGAGGGAGAGGGAAAAAAATATTAGCTATTAACTAATTAATTAACACATTTTATGTTTGGCCTCTAAACACTAATACAAAAGCGATGGACTCTACTAATTAACAAGAAATCTCATAATTGGGTGTTCGATCAATCTCCTAAAAGCATGTTTTTTTATTTGTTTATTATTTTTTATAAAGTACATCAAGAAACAATATGTGTCGAACTTGCCATCTCTTGCTTACAATGCATACATGTTTCTATCACTGAAATTTGATTGAGTTTATTCACATAAGTGCAAATATATTACACAAAAGTACACAAGAACCCAATTGGATTTCAAATCATATGCTTCCAAAATGCAGACCTTGTGGGTTTATTTTTAAATATAAATAAATGAATGAATTTGAAAGATTAAATTTATTTCTTTTTGTTTTAAAAAATGCATATAATTAATTAAAAAAAATTAAGCATCAGAGGGTGGAATCCAGTGTCTTCCATTGACGAAGCTCTTAGCAAGGAATGGATGGGCCGATTCGAAATCAAGCTCTCGAGCCCATGACACCCCCCTCACTGCTGCTGCTCCTGGTCCCCAGCACTTGTACACTCCAAAAAATACCGTCCTGTCAATTTTATCAAATTCAATATATAATTCAATCAAACTAAGTACCTAGTAGGTTGTTTAGGGTTGGTTGAAAAACTTGCCGAGTTTTAAAATACGTTCAAGTTTGATTTGTTTATATAATGAATCTTAATCTTGAAAACTTGCCGTTTGGTCTTTTTTTTTTTTTTTTTTTTTTTTGTACATTTTGGAGATAATTAATGATTGAAAAAGTCTTGTTACCCATGTTATTTTTGTCATTATATACAATGAAAAGTGTTAGTTTGATATATATTATGAGACTCATTTTTTTAACTAATTAAATTTTTTGGTGATTAAAATGGGAATTTTGTAGGGCAGTAACTTACTTGTTCTTGTTGCTGGTGTGGTCCCAGTCATCCCAGCCACCGTGGGCGACCACGTCATCAAAATAGGTGAAGGAGAAGACGATCCGGGAGTATTGGCCCATGGCCCGGCCCACGTAGAGTGGGCCCGTACCCGTCACCCTGCAGCGCACGAAAGCGAACCCGGTCTTCTCGTACGGCCATTTCCTATCCTGCGCCGCTATGGACCCGAACCTCGTCGCTATTGAGTGGAGCTCACAGTCCTGCAATCAAATTTTGACAGACAAAAAACACTCAACAATCAGTCAACTCGTTCGGCCTCCAACACTTTTAGTTTTGATTTTTAGGTCTCGTTTAGAACTTTTCTTTTTAATTAAAAAGTCAAAAAATTATTAAATTAGTCAAAAAATCAACAACTTATACTCAAAAGTCAAACATTCTCTTTTCTCTCTACTTTTTACATATCTTTTCGTAAAAAGTCAAAAAGTCATTCCAAATCTACTAATTTGTTTTAGCTCATATTTTAGTCAAATAGCTAAAAAATTATTAAATTAGTCTGTTCCTAAACGGGGCCTTAGTTTAAAAATTAAAAATTCTCTTTTCTCTTTATTTTTTATACATCTTTTTCATAAAAAATTAAAAAGTTATCCTAAATATATTAAAAATAATTTATTTCATATTTTAGTTTAAAAAATTAAAAAATTACTAAAATAGTATGTTATTAAAATAGTACATATAATAAAGTTTGATAAATTTGTCAAACTCAACATTTACATGCATTATTGGTAAATCACATTACCTTCTTTTCAAGTTTAGAGAAAATGTATTAAGTTCTATAAATTTGATATAATTTTTTAGATTGTATTTAAATTATAAATTTTGGTAGAAATTTAAAAATAAAATATTTTCTTTTCTTTTTTTCAATTTCTATCCAAATTAATGATTTAAATAGTGTTAAAATTTTAATTTTCATAATACTTTACCTCATCATCAATAATTTGTTGGCATGTGGATAGACAAAAGATCTTGCCATCTAATTTAAATTGAAATGCATATTTTATCTTTGTGAATATGTGTGTTTATACATCATTTATAACTTGACGTTTGAGTTACGCTAAATTAAGGTCAAGTTTGACAACTCTAATATAATTCATCTTTTAATCTTTTTATTTTTTTTCATTACATTATCTCTTTACTTTTTTGTATATCTTTTTATAAAAAGACAAAAAATACACTTATTTAGGCTATTCCAAACAACTCCTAAATTTGATGTGGGACTGATTTGAAATAACGTATATACTCGATTATTTAATACTGACCCAATTCAATGTTTGTCTAACGCTACTACTAGTAAAGTGCTCCTAGTACACCAAAAAAAAAAAAAATAATAATAATAATAATAATAATAATTGCAGAGCACAAGTTACTTCATCAATTTTAAATTGCTTTTCACTAAAGTTTAAAGTACTTTTGATTTTTTATCTTTTTCAAAATATCTTTTACATAATTTTTAATGTTAAATAATCCTTGAGTTCACTGATTAGTGTTTGAGATATTTTTAAAGCACTCCCCAAACACGAATCATTAAAAAAATATAAACTGAAATAAAAGAAGCTTAATGTCAAGCTTTGCGAACTCTTTTTTTCCAAAGACTAGACATTGGCCTCAGAGAGGTTTAGCACTTGGCTCGAAACATGGAACTGTTTTATAGTGGAAAAAGTTACCATCATTTTTCACTTTTTAGCAGACAGAGTAGACAAACTTCAACAGCCTGGATTGGATTGGCTGAAATACATTGTTTAAAACATGCCTCAATGTTCAGCTTTTTCTGAAAATCATACAATTGGGTTGTTTATTTGTTTGTTTTTTACCTCATTTATTGTATTTTTTTTTTTGGCTTAACCTCATGTTTTGGCCTCGTTTGAGAACAGGCTAATTTAGTCTCTGTTTGGCAAGTTGTAAGTTGTGCTTTTTTGGCTATTTTAGCCAAAAAAGACAAAATAGGCTATTTTAGCCATAACAAACAAAATATCACATCCAACCCATAATCATTACATTCTTCTCTCACAAAAAAACTCAAAAAAGCCAAAAATCCAAAAAGCCCTTCCCAAACCAAGCTTTTAAGCCCAGGCTAAAATAGCCAAAAAAGCCAAAAAGCCAAAAAGCCAAACCCACTTCCCAAACGGAGGCTTAGTAACTTTTTGGTTATTTGGCTAAAAAGGTAGGTAAAAAAAACTTGTATGTTTGGGATGACTTTTTGACTAATTACGAAAAGATGTGCAAAAAGTAGAGAGAAAAGAGAATTTTGACTTTTTGGTATGGATTGTTGGCTTTTTGACTAATTTAAGCCTCCGTTTGGGAAGTGGGTTGGCTTTTTGGCTTTTTGACTATTTTAGCCTGGACTATTTTAGCCTGGTTTGGGAAGGACTTTTTGACTTTTTTGGCTTTTTTTGTGAGAGAGGATTGTAATGATTATGGGTTGGATTTGATGTTTTGTTTTTTGTGGCTAAAATAGCCTATTTTGTTTTTTGTGGCTATTTTAGCCAAAAAAGCCTGGGCTTTTTCTTGCCAAACGGAGGCTAAGCCTGGGCTTTTTGGCTAATTGGCTAAAATAACCTCTTGCCAAATGAGGCCTTTATTTATTTTTTTCAATTCTAAATATAAGAAAATAAGTCTCATTAACATTTATTAATATGAGACTCATTATTTTATATTTAAAAGTGAGAAAATAAAATAAAATTTGAGATGATGTATGACAATTGAATGCTTACTTTGTACATGGATCGGCCATTGCCGAAAATAAAGTCGATAGAGCCCTCAATGTAGCATTCTTTGAAGTAATGGCGGCCGGCATCATCACAAAGGGTGTCTTGTGCACCAAAGAATCCACACCCAGAGAAGTAGGCTTTGTCTCCTGATATCCTAAACGCCGCTGCTTGCCACCCTTCCATTCCCGGCATTGGTGCCGGAGCTGTATTCTGTACCCCGTCCATATGCATATTCAAATATTAATAATTTGAAAATGATATAAATATATCATAGAATCTTTAAATTATCTTCATAATGATACATCTTATATCTTCAATTGAAACTATCACGATAACAAACATCATATTTTTTATAATAATTATGTATCATATTTTTTTATTTATATAACATTACTTTAACGATAACAAACATCATATTTTTTATAATAATTATGTATCATATTTTTTTATTTATATAACATTACTTTATTTGTACGCAAAGTTTTCGTGAATTAGTATACAAACAAGAATTTGTTTGGCATAATGTTAAAAAATCACTTTTTATTTTTTATCTTTAGTAATATTTTTTCAAAATTAATTCAATTTTGTTTTACTTTTCAAGATTGTCAATGTAGATGAATCTAAAATATATAAAAAGAAAAGAAAGAAAGAAAAGAAAAGCTAGCCAACTGTTTTTAGCTCTTCTTTTGTAAAAAAAAAATCTTTTCGGGCATTTTTCTAATTTCTTTATTTTTATGTTATGTCTAGTCGAGTATAATCCAAAAGTAAGGAGGAAGAGAGCATGGCCAAGTAGTAGCACATCTCCCTTCTCAACTTTCTATAATTTATTTTTAGTATAAGTTTATAAATAGTTCTTCAATTTGCTCCCTCTAAATTTGAATATATATATTTATATATATATTTTAAATGATTTTTATAATTTGCATTATTCAAATGTTTATTTTATGATGTTATAAAGTCTACCTTTAAATGTTTATTTTCTATTCTTTTTAATAATACTTGCTATTTTTTTTTTTTCCTTCTGTGACAAATATATCTACAAATATATATAATGATTACTTGTTATTTGATAAAATCTCTCAATAAAATACTTACTTTTCTTTGGAGACAATTATTACAATTTAAGTCAATGTCGTGTTTAGAAATAAGAGTTAAATTTGTTAGGTAGAAACACGACAGGATTGAAACTCTATTGTAGATATAACATTTTACTTTACTATTGCCCCCTTTTAAGTTAAAATTCTGATTCTGTCACTGTCTCAAAGTATGAAAATTTTCATTTAACAACCATTTTAATACGCAAAGAAAGTGAACGCCACACCCTCTTTGTCTCTAAATCATTTAGTGAATTATTAAGTGCTTTTAGCACAATTATTCAAAAATAGGTCCGATTTTAACTATGTATGTAAAACAATGTACCACGCACAATTATTCAAAAAGTGAAAACAAAACGTACACTCACTCAAGACACTTGTCAATATTAACAGCTATACGTCGGTGGATGGAGAGATTATTTGGTGTTCTTTGACTAATTTTACCTCGTGTTTTAATTTTATTTTTAATGATAAAAATAGTAAAATTCAGCATTATTATGTTTTTTTTTTTTTTAATATAGATTATATGATAAGTATTATGTGATAAATAGTATGAAAATTATCTCACACGACCACCAAATAATCTATCGCATAGAAGATAAAAGACTATTATAAGTCGAAGGAAGATGGCGTTATATAGCAAATACACTAAATAAAAGAAAATGGTATGCAAATTATTTATTGGGTCTTGCCAAGTATCCCTGAGATACAAGAAAAAAGATTAAAAGAAATGTGAAACGTGGGATACTTTTTACGAAATTCAACACTTTTTATCAAAATCAAAACACTACTTATTTTCAAGTAATTTTTTAACATAAATTCCAATGTTAAATAATTCTCAAGGGATAATTTTTAACATTTGTCTTATTTATCTTCTTATACAGTGACGGTATCAAGAAACTAAATCAGAAGAAGTACTTATTAATTATAATTTTAATTTTTTTCCCCATAATTAGCAATAAGAAGATAATAATAATTTTTAAATTAATATTAAGTACAAAAACTTACATAAATTATTATAAAAGTATTTCACATAAAATTTTACAATTAATTTCGAGTAAAATCGAAAAGAAAATATTGCGTGTAACTAGTGTATCATGGACAATGTAAAAAAGTCATATATTTAAGTTCTAAAATAAATTATATAATGGTAAAATAAATCATAAAAATTTCATATAATAGTGATATTTCGTCATTATTGACATATGACATCACTAATCAATAGTAAAGCAACATATGGAAGGTGAACTCCACATGAAAATATATCTAACACTCTAGTAATTTTTACACATATATAGTGAGATTAATTATTTTTGCATATTAATAATGATGGATATTACCTTTATATTGAGATTTTTTCATAAAATTTTCATACATAAAAATATAATTTGTTGCAGTCACTTCATTTTCATTAAAACAATCAATATTGTTTTCATAAATTTAAAAACACCCTTGACATTTTATTCTAAATATTATTGTTGTTTAAAATTTTATTCATATATATATATATATATAAAATTCCAGGAGGGGCACGTGACCCCTTGGTCACCATGTGGCTCCGCCACTGTTCCTATATATAACTTTTCATATAGTTTTTTCGGGTTCAATTTATGTTTGGCAGAAAAAGTCCAGTAATTATTTGATATTTAAAAATTTTAGAGGTTATTTGGAATGATCTAAATAAATGCACTTTTAGACTTTTTATGAAATATAGGTTAAATTTGAAGTGATGTGGTAGAGATGTGATGTAACTTAAATAAGATGATGTGACTTAAATAAGATAGTGACTTTTGACTATTTGATTTTTTTTGAAGATGCCAAACTTAGCCTTAGTCAATTGTGCCTTTGTTTAGCATGTGGGCTAATTTTTTAACTTTTTGACTATTTTAGTTTGGGTTTAAAAAATCTCGTTTGAGATAGTTTTTTGATTTTTTTATATTTTTATGAAAAAAAAATAAAATGATTATAATTTAGATGTAACATTTTATCTTATTGTTTTTTTTTTTTTTTTTAGTGTCTATTTTCTCTTTTTTGTGATTATTTTAATATAAATCATTCATGCCAAACGTAACCAGTTTTATAAGAGATTAATAATAATTATATATTTTGAAAAAACAAAAATCTTGATCGACATATTTCAAAATCCTGACTGGCCGCACGGTGACATGATGTGACATGGAGGACCCACGTCCTAATTTGTGCAAGAATAATGCTTGGGATCCCCTTTTGGGGGTCACCCCTCACCCCCCTTTACCACGTGACGGGTGGTGATTGGAGGAGCAGGAAAAAAAAAATGTAACCAATGAGAGAGAGAGGGGGTCAAAGGGGGTGGGAAAAAAGGGGATGAATCATTGTTGTTTATGCAAATGCAAAAATGTTAGATTCTCACAAAAAGTAACCAAAAAAAAAGGCAAATTACATATACCTCCTTTGGGGTTTAGCTAAATTATAGATACTCTTCTGAGGTTTCAAAAATTACAGATATCCCCCTGAGGTTTATATTTTCATGACAAATTACCTCCTGAAATTTATATTTTCATAACAATTTGCCTCCTAATTTGTTATGCAAATAATACCTTCAAGGAGGTATTTGTAATTTCTCAAACCTCAGAAGAGTATCTGTAATTTTATAAAATCTCAAGGGGTATATGTAATTTGCCCAAAAAAAAATTACGCAACATATTAGAAAGTGGAATTAAAATGGAGAAAATGACACTAGTCTCTCACTGACCTTAAAGCTTAGGTTTCTAGCAGAGAAGAAAGGAGCAAGAACAGTGACAGAGGCTGTTTGGTAAGTACGCAGCTGTTGACCGTTGGGACCTCTATCACACGCTCTGTCATGCCACTCTATCACCGTCGCTTCCCTCCCCGCTCCTTGAAGTGTGATGTACGGCTTTGATGCTGGCACCACTACCTTCTCTCTGTTCCGCCACCACACCATAACATAATCATCATATTAGAGAGTTAACAATAACATATGCTACAAATTAAGACAAGGTTAAAAACTACATGCAAATGTGTTAATTAATAATGTATAATATATACATATATAGACTAATTATTACCGTAATGATTATCCGTCTTCTTCCTCAATGTTAGACCTTGAAATATGATTATGTGCGATGATAAAGGCTTGTCTTGAAAAGTAAGTTAAAAGTTAAATTTTTAATTTTTTTTAAAAAAAAATATGTAAAAAAATATAGAGAGGAGATGTAACTCAAAAAAATCAAAAAATTAATTTTAACTATATTTTCAAAACAAGTCAAAATAACATTTCTCTTAATAAAAACAAATGGTCTTTTTAGAAGAATTACCAAATAATTATACTAATGGTCCCCATGCATGCTCTATGTGGTAAATTTGGTCTCTAACATACATTAGGGATGATTAATATAATTAGTTTGGTATTTACACTGATAGTCCTTATATTTTACCTATTGTGTTATTTAGATCTTTATACTTTTAATTGGTTTAATTTGGACTTTTAATTTTTGATTTTATGTGAATTTAGTCAAATTGATAACACCATTAGATTTTTTTTTATAGAAAATAATATTAAGTTGGTTAACTCATTAGGTTGAACAAGTTTATAATTTTGCCCCTAAATACATGATACATGTTGCTGAATGCATATTTTTCATAAAAAATACTAATATCTGTAATCAATTTAATCAAATCAAGACAAAATTTAAAATTAAAAGCGAACCAATTAATTATATACGCTAAACTGACACGATAGTCAAAATATAGGGACTACAGGTAATATAAAAAATAAATAAATAAATAAACTTTATTTGGAATGCCATCAGGCGTATATAATTGATTGTCTGAAAAATTAAATTGATACAATTAGAATATTAATATTATTAAAATGCCACGTAACACATATATGAGATTATTTGTGTCGTTAATGTAATTTTAAGTAGGGAAAATTACTATTCAACATGGGTTTTGAAAACTTATTACATAAAAGTGAAAAAAATTTATAATTTTAATTATTAATATTTATAATATTTTATAAATATTTTTCTTAATTACCACTTACATGTAATTCTCCTTTTAAGTATGCAAGACTAAGTAGGAGTAGTAAAGCTTCCCTCAAAAAAAAAAAATAAAATGGTAGAAGTAGTAAAGCTGAATAATATTACATGTAACAACCAGCGCTGATTTGAACGACGACGTTCTCCCGGTTGTTCTCGGGGACCGAGTTGACGGCATCTTGAACATACCGGAAGTCTCCAAAGCCGTTAACGTCGACGGTGATGAGGCGGTGGCCGGAGGGTCCCACCCATTTTTGGCGGCGATAGGTGGTGGAGTTAGAAGTAGCAGTACTGAGTGAGTCCACATAGTAGGAACTAGGCAAAGCTCTTAATAATGGTGCATGGAATGAGAGGAAGAAGAAGAAGAAGAAGAAGAAGATACTAGTAAAGAAAGAGTATTCAGAGAATAATGAAGCCATTAAAATACCAGTACTACTACTACTAACATTTAACTCTACTCAGAGAATTATAATGTTCAGAATGTGGGTTTTTGAGGGGTTTAATTGATAAGTAATGGGAGAGAGAGAGGCTATGATTCTTATAATATATGTATATATATAGTATGTGAAATTCTGAAACTGGGTGATTGAAATGTTTTTTTTTAAATTGTAATATTTGTTTGGAGGAATGGATTCCAACGGTCAAATTTTTGTTGTGTTCCCTCGCATTTGGAGACACTAGACATAATGGTGGCTCGGCTAAGCTTCAGAGGGGAGTTTGTGGGTGTTTGGAGTATGCATTTTTTATGGTTTTGTTGTTTTTATTTTTATATTTTTAAGAAGTTAAGCAAGTTAATGTCTTTGAGAAGTTGTTAAAAAAATTAATATTTTAGGAGTGAAAAAATTAATGTGACATTTAATTTTTTTTAGCTCATGACAAATACGTCAGTTTTGCTTTTTAATTTTTTGAATTTTATGGACAAAACTTGGCTTTTTTAAGTTGTTTTCAAGCACCCCCTTAATATTAGATATAATATTGATATTACATGGTTATATCATTAATTAACAAAAAAAAAAAAGTATAAGAGAATGATGTTAGAAAACATAGAATGAATCACGTAATGGTTTACAGAAAAAATAATAGGACGAAGTCCATATTCAAAATAAATTTTAGTTTCTCAATACATTTTATATGATCAATTCTTTATTTTTATTCTATACTGTTAGTATTAGTGATTACAAAAAGATTAAATGGATAACTCATATCTCCCAATTTTTTTTATTGATGTGAAGATACTTAAATAAACAAAGATTATTATACATTTTAGTAAAAATATAGATGGCAACATTATTTTTTTCATTCACATCATTAATAAATTACCAATAAAAAAGATTTAACTACTACAAAAACTAAAATCTCAAAAAAAAAAATAGTATAATATCAAAAATATAAAATTAAAATATACTTTTTAAGTTTCAAGGGTAATTTGTCCCAAAAATGAAAACTTGTTTTTGTAATAATACATCCATAACAATTTTGGGAAAGTGGAACGGTCATTTAAACACAAAATCATTAGAGTATATTACAAAAGGGTTGTGAGTGGTGGTGTGCATGAACAATGATGGGACTGAGCATGGCCAAATACAATTTTGTAATGTAATCGTAAGATCACGCCGTAGTAAGTGGGCCTCACTTCGCTTTCGTTTTTGGCTTTAAAAAACTAAAGTCAAATATTTCGAACGTTAGGTATAGAACAAAATAATCCAAACTCATATAAACTCCACAGAAGCATTACATGTGATTATACCTCTCATAAAAGAAAAGAAAAGAAAATATATTAAAAAAATATTAGGAATCGTCAAAATTTTATCAAAATTTTTATTATATGTGACATATGAGTATGAAAAATAGTTAAGAGTACTAAAAATGATACTCTAATAACATCATTAATGATGTGGTAGTGGTTCCGCTCTACGGCATCTCGTGTTTTTTTTTTTTTTTTTTTGACATTCTCAATGCATTAGTGTTATTAGTGATTTTTTTTAATGGTATAAATCATTGGCCCCGTTTGGTGTAGCTGTTAAAACAGCTTAGATTATATTTTAACAGATTATAGATTATGACTTTAATCAGAAATTGTTAATCAGTTTGGTGTAACTGTTGGATTATAGATTTAAGTTATTGAGTAGTGTTTATTAAATAAGCTGTGAAATAGCTTTTTTAATTAATTTTTATTTTTTGTCTGCCTACATTTTTCATAAAAAATAATAATAATAATCTATAGTTCATTTGGGTCTTTTTCTATTTTTAAAAAAATAAAAAATAAAAAAATCTAAGAATATAACCATAAATTAACATGTCCACAGCAGAAGCCGATAATCAGAAGCAAGAGGTGAGCAACTTCTCAGAATCAACTTTTTTGAATTAAAATAAGCTGTTAGAATCAGAAGCTGTTTGAAATAAATTTAACCAAACAGTCCAAAATAACTTTTTCAAAGCTAAAAACCATTAGTTAGCTTTGAAAAACTAAAACAAACACCCCTATTGCTATATGAGTATAGATATATATCATGTGAGTTTAATACTTATTTGAGATATTTGATAGAAATTTTAATAAATTTTTTAAAACCTTTAATATTACTCAATTTATTAAGAATAATATTAAAAATTTAAAAAAAAAATTAGTAATATATCTATTAAATGTGGGTGTACAAAATCTCACATTCATTGATATTTGATAAAAGTTTTAATAAATTTTTAAAAATCTGTAATATTTTTGGTTTATTAATGGTGATTGGCTTGATTATAGGTGCGTGTGGACTACAAGAAAGAAAGATGCCCTTGCATATCTTGGAATGTGACTTAACGGTCTTTTCGATTGGAAAATATAGGAGAGAGAACAGGGAAGGTGTCAGAATGATTGCAGAGAATGCAGCGAAACAGTTTGTTGTCAATCAGGAGTCAAATAATTGGTAACTGACTGTAATACCACATGATCTTTTTTTTATTTTTTTTTATTCATGCCACATGGATCTATAGGAATAAACAATTAGGCATGGTTTGGCAGCTAAACAATTTAAAATCAAAAAATTGTTATGAATGGTCACATTTAATTTTTCTTTTTTTCAAGTATATGTTTTATAAAAAATTAAAAATTATTAAAATAATCAATTCCCAAACAAGTTTAGAGTCTAAAGAATTGTGTGGAAACATGTTTTTTTTTTTAATAACTTTTAAATTTTTTGACTAATATAAAATGAAAAAAATTAATATATTTGTGACGATTTTTTTTTATTTTTTACAAAAAAATATATACAGAAAGTAGAGTGAATGGAAATGAATCTTTGCTTAGTACTTGTTAGTTTTTTTGATATTTTTTTAGCTTTTAGACCTTTTTGATGGGTTGCCAAACAATCCCGTGTGCACATAAGATCAAAAACAGAACAAGACACTAACATCTCACAAAAGATGGGGCTGGGATGATGTGAAACTCGCATGTAAAATTCATTTTTTGTGAGATATTTATATCTTATTCTAATCTTTGTATGAAATATGAATTGGGTTTAAAGTGATGTGATAGAGAGGTGATGTAACTTAAATAATATGATTTGATTTAAATAGGATTTTGATTTTTTGATTTTTTTAAAAGATGTCAAACTTAACCTAAATTTTACAAGAAACATAACAAACAGTGGTGTGGTGCTTGTTTGGGGTAAAGAAAATTACAACTGAATTACCATGGGAAGGTTTGTCACAGTTACTGAAATGGAATTTGTACAGGCAGAATTGGGAAATTTAGCTATAAACTCCCTTTACTTTCCTTTTATTATTAAAAGGACTAAGAAAAAAATTATACTTTCTAAACCCCCTCATAATTATAAAGTTTTTCCTAAAGGACAAAATTTATTATTTAAATATTTTATATGACTATTATACCCTTAACTAATTCTTCCCACTCTCTTCCCCACCCTCTTATACTTGATTGGTTCGAGTTAACCCACTGTTTTGCAGTCCTCATTATCGGAAAGGCGGTGGAATAAGAATCTGATTTTTCATGTTCATCGTTGTCAGGAGCTTTTCATACTCGTCCAAATACGCAGGCCACTCCATGCTAAACTTTCTTTTTGCTTTTGATAATTTCTCGAGAAACAAACAAGCCAAATATACAAAGCACCAACCAGATCAAGAGCTTTATATATATATATATATATATACTTCCGAAATTGAACTTAATAGACCTCGAAAGTATAATTCTCTCTTTTCCTTATCTCTTCCATTCCTAGGGTTTGGATTGAATTCGTTTGGAGCTCTCGTGATTTCAACCAAAACTGTGAATATATCTCTATATATATGTGTGTGTTTGTGTGTTTTGAGATTTGAATTGTTTGTGTGTTTTGAGATTTGAATTCGAATATATATATATATATATATATCTACATATTCCGATCTCTAATCTATATATATGTGTGTTTTGAGTCTTTAAGATCGCAGATTTGAATGATTGCATAGATCGGTCTCGGCGATCATTTGATTCGAACTCAAAAGCTCAAAGATGTAAAGTAAAATCTGAAAAATCTGTGTATGAAAAATCTCAAGATGTTTGAAAGCTCAAAGTTTCAAAAATCTGAAAAATTTGTAAAATCTGAAGAACCGGGGTATGAAAAATTGATATTTCTCTAAAATTTTCAGAATATAGGCCTGATTCAAGGATTATAGGCATGATTCAATGTTTTTCAAAGTAAACATCGATTGATTCAAAATGGTTATAAAATTCTGGATAAAACTAGAATTTTTTCCTAAATTCGGTCTATTTTTTAGGTGGGCCCCGAGTGTCGATTTACTCGGGTCAAAGTGGTAACGCGTTCTATGCCGCGTTGTGATTCACGTGGTATATTTGGTTGCTCAAAACCATTACCGAGTGAATGGGAAATTGAAGCCAAAGTGTGCTCTATGAAAATGGAGTTTTTGGTGGAAATTCCTTAAGGTGGTAAATTGGCTTGTCTCACATTGATTTGGTGGGAAGTTTTGAAAGGGTTTATAAGGCTTAGGGTGAGATACTTGGGGTGTGCCCCAAGGGGTACCCAAGTGTTTTAGAGGGAGAGGTTATGGGCAAAATGGGCTAGACCCATTGGACTCAAAAATCACCACGCGCGCGCGCCGCCGCCGTCCGTCCGGTCGGGCGGGCTGGGCTTGGACGCGGGTGTGTGGTGTGGCTTCTAATCTTTTTTGGGCCAAAAACATTTGAATTTAATTTTATTTTTTATTAAAATAAAATCCATAATTCAAATTAAATAGGTTTGGATTTTTTGTTCATCCAAACAGGGCCCTTCCCGGTTTCAAACAGAAATAAACTGTTTTAGAATTAGTGCACACCCAAACAGGGCCCTTCCCGTAATTGCTATCTGTTTGAAATTCAAAACCCAACAGGTATCATACCTGTTCAATTCAAAACCAAAAGCCACCTTTACATAGATATCATGAGTTTGAGTCAAATTCTCTAAATCCCCAGCAAAGTCGCCAGAAACTGTAGACGAACGCGAACGCCCCAGGAAATCCCGTTTTGTTCATTGGGCTTACTACAGTTCGGACTCAAATGTCACAGCTCTTAATCTAATCTCACATAAACACTTAGTGTGTTCGTAAGGCAAACAATTAGTAGTGCTGCTATTGTTTGTGGTAGATCATTTCATCCTGGGAGATAGACGTCCGAATTCTGAAAGCACCGTGGAGAGGACGAATCTGTCTTAAGGACACAGTGTCAAACACTGGACTTGATCAGAAAAATAATTCGAAGAAATTAAATCAAGTAAGTTATTTAATTTACTTTCAGTGTTGTTTTTATTTGTTTATTTATTCAGATTTTAATTTTGTTTTTGTAACAAAATAAAATCTGTTTTTTATTTATATATTTTTATTTCAAGTTTGATTTTTGTAATCAAACATATTCTCTCATTTTCTTTATTTCTTTATATTCTGGTTGTTGTTTAGTACACAACAGAATTTAATTAATTTAAATACAGTGAAGATTGCCAAACAGGATTATAGGCCTGATTCAAAGCTTATAACTCAAAGTTCCATCGATTTTTCAGAGTAAATATCAAATTTCATTTGATAGAACCAGAGTAAAATTTTACTCTGGTTCTATTGCTCTGTTTTTTTCATTTGACAGAACCAGAGTAAAATTTTACTTTTATACAGAGTAAAATTTTACTTTTAGCTTCAAAATCTTACAGTTTACTTATTTTTCAGAGTAAAATTTTACTTTTATACAGAGTAAAATTTTACTTTTAATTTCAGAGTGTAAAATTTTACTCTCATTCAGAGTAAAATTTTACTTTCATACAGAGTAAAATTTTACTCTGAAATACATAGTGAAAATGTAGAGAGAATGATGTAGAGTAAAATTTTATTTTTAGTTTCAGAGTCTTACAGTTTACTTATTTTTCAGAGTAAAATTTTACTTTTATACAGAGTGTAAAATTTTACTTTCATTCAGAGTAAAATTTTACTTTCATACAGAGTAAAATTTTACTTTAATACAGAATAAAATTTTACTTCATACAGAGTAAAATTTTACTCTGAAATACATAATGAAAATGTCTTAATAAGAGAGCTGATAGATATAAGGGTAATATAGTAAAAGAAACAAGTTTTAAAATATCAGGAAGTTTTGAAAGTACTTATATAATTCTTGTCCTTTTAAAAGAGAAATTAGATAGTGAGGGGGATTTCCTTTTAAAAGAGAAATTAGATAGTGAGGGGGGTTATGACCAAATCCCCCGACAGAATTCTATTTTTACATAAAATTTACACGAATAATATAATTATTGTAAATAAATTCAATTTTAAGCGCATTTTATTATAACTCAAACAGTCTAGGCCATTCTCTCTTTTCTCCTCCCTTCTTCACTCTTTTTTCTCTATATAACTTCGAGCAGTCTTTACCACCACTCCCCACTCCACCACCTCTAGTCTCTTGCCCATCACTGCCCATTCCAACCCAACAACAGTTAACCAGAATCCTAACCACCGAAATCAACACCTCCCCTCCTTGGTATCGTGTTCAGTAATTCTAAATGCTTTTGAACCCAAAATACTACAATTACAATCAGAGTCACTAATACAACTTGGTCCAATTACAATCATGGATTCACAACAAACTCAAGCCAAGAAACACCATTACATTAAAAATCTAAAATTACAGCAGTTTCTACATGGAAAGTATCTCTCATACCATTGCATAGTCAAATTAACTATGGTAAGACTGATAGGAGTGCCCTCTCTAGCTCTGTCCAAAGAATGTATGTGTATATATAACTAGCCCGGAAACAGGCAGTAGGGGGCAACCCACAACAAAAAATTGATTTCTTCTCATTTTCTTTCCCCAACGAAAATAACCAGCTTTAAGAACTTCAAGTTGCTCAAAGAAAATCCCTTCGCAGAGAATTGAACCATGACAAACTGGTATGTGTCCTAGTACAACTTGTTGAACCCAGGAGATGGCGTAGATTCACCCAACCTAGGCAAGAAAGCTTCCCTCTCAAGTGAAACTTGAAGGCACGACATAATCTTAACCAATGAAAGCCATGCTAATGGTGCATAACAAAAGGCATACCCAAACACGGATAGGGCTCTCACAACACCATCTGGGTACCAAGGGTATGCCATGACCAAAAGTACCCCAAAGATCCCGAGCCATGGTATTAACACAGGCAGCATCGGGAGAAGAAAGGCGTTGACCGCTACGGAAGAAAGTGCAAGAGAACCGAGCAAGTAGAGGCTCCAACCAAGTAGAGGATGGACTGTGCGAGGAATAAGGAAGAAAGGGATTATATAGGCAGCAAGAATGGACCACATAGCTACCAACTTGAGGCCGTTTTGTATTAATGAGATGCTCTTGTCTGCGCGGCGGTAGCATAGCTTAGATAGACTAGGCCGTGCTAGACGTGTCACTGCCATTATTCCAATGTAAAATATTGACTGGATCAACACAATCAGCATCTCTGCCCTATACCTGTTGAATTGTAAGCTATGAATTGTTAAGATAATGAGTGAGATTAAATTATACTGCAAAAATAGTTGGATCAGTAATTAGAATAGTGAAACAGATATATCTACTGTCGTATGGTCCAATTAAAATCAAATTTTAATTTGCAAAAAGAAGAAAAGAAAAATGAAAAAGAGAAGCTAAATTCTTTGCATTTGTTTGGTTAATAAATGAAAACAAAATACATAGTGATTTCTTAGAAAGTTTTTTTTTTTTTTTTTGGGTTACCCATAACAATGGACAAGTACAAAAAATTTCATTTTTTTTTTTCCCGTTCTCCCAACAAACTCTAGACCCAAACATAGCAGTATTTGGTTTGATGAAAAGTAACATGGTCAACTATAATTTATTCAGTCTCTGGCTATTTAGTTAATATATAACTAAGATATTTGAATGGATTTTGGTTTTACCCAAGTGTTTGACGACGTTGTTCATGCCATTGGAGACCCAGTGGCAGTACTGGCCATGACCACCAATACCATGGTTTCAACCACGGTGCGCCAGGGAAAGTAATCACACTGTTAGGCCCACAAGGTACACTCCACCGGAGTCTAAGATCTGGAATCAAAAAGACAGTAGAGAGTCAACCACAATTGGCATCCAAACCAAAAGGAATAAGGAAAAAGAGGTTGGAGAGCTTTGAAGTTAGAAAATTGTGAAAGAAAATTGTGTTACTCACAATAGTAGGAGGCATCCATTTGATATCCCAAAGGAAGTCTGTATGTTCCAACAAGCTTGGTACCGTTAAGTGGTGGGTGGAACATTGGCTGGTCAAGCAAGTCTGGAAAGTAACTTCCAATAAAACCCTGGTCTGCGCCATCTGGGTTATTTCTCCCAATGTCCAACTCATGAAGCATGTCATTGAACACCTTCATTGATGGCTGCAATTCCATATTCCAAATAAAAATCTCAGTTTCTATAAAACATGTAGCTTCTTCTTTTTTTAATTTTTTTTTTTATTGGAAAATCAATTCATTGAAATTTTGTTGATATCCAAACATGAGTTTTGAGAAACTCCAAGCTATAATTAGCGAGTACAACAAATATTGCAAATAGGTTTGTAGCACATGTATAAGTAAAAAGCTCATTCAGGGAGCCTAGACAGCTCAAAAGAAGCAGGCAGTACATGATTTCATAAAGAAGCTAAAACTACGCCAATTATTCAGTTTGAAGCAATGTCTAAGGAGGGCCTTCTTTTTCTCCTATATATTTCATCTATTAAGGTTGTGTTTAAATCTTGGATCCGAGTAGGGATTTGTGAAGAATAAGGAAAACGTAAGGGAAGAGTGACAAAAAGCTAAGCCAATTTTATCACTTTTCCATTCCCTTTTCCTTTCCTTCCACAAATCCCTGCTCAAATCTAAGATCCAAACTCAGTGTAAAACATCTGAAAGAACTCTATAAGAAATTGTATTAATGTTCAGTGAATCGCATCTCTGAGCAGTACACCATCTAGAACATGATTCAGAGGAGGTAGATTTGAGTAGCTGTAGGAAAACTCCAACACAAAAATGTAAGAGGTAGATTTTACCTCTAATACAAAGAGGCCAGTATGGAAGATGCAGGGGTTGATAAAAACTGCACAAAACTGACCACATTGGAACAACTCGTCTGTTTTTTGGAGGAAGAGGTTGTCAGAATCAAGCATAACCACCCTGTCATAGTCCACTAGTTTCCACGCATAGAGTTTGTTCAATGTTAACTTGAATCTCCTGTCAAAATTGCGTTGATTCTTGTATGGATTGTTCAGATTCTCTACACTCATCACCTTCGCCCCATCTTCCTGTTCCCTGAATAACAAAGTGGAAACATTCAATTCATTTTGAACATCTAAGATACAATTTTTCCTTAATTTGTTTTTTTACTTTTTGTGTATTTTCTTGGATTTTATGAAACAAGTAAAAAGAAAAGACACATTCCCCAAACAATATTGTTATGGATCTTATGATGTGATAAGATAAGTTGATTGGATTGCATATGTAGGGTTTAAAATCTTGTTACTACTGAAATTAAAAATAAAGAAGGATAAAATCATCATCATTTGATCAGGATTTTGATTGAGCAAGGGTGTTCCACATTGTGAAGTATATGCACGCACCAGTGTGCATATGGTGGGAGGCTGGAGCAGAAACACATTGAAGCTGTTACAAGCAGTTATTGCATTGCTAGTAGATATTGAGATTCACTAATGCTTCCATTTTAAGAGTACAGATTATAAGCTACTTAAAAAAAAATTGGGCCATAGGGATTCGTTTCAGTTTGTGTGTCTAAGTAACAGCTCTTTTAGCCAATCAAAAAAAAAAAACAGCGCTTTTAAATTCATTGGTCGCAGAGGGCCATAAGCTGCTGAGCTAGAAAAGGGCACTCAACTAAGGTGCAGCCTTCAAAACAAAAAAGCACAACATGCACGACGATTGTGCAAGGACCAGAAAACACATTTGGCTATACAGCTGCACAATTAAGAGGGCGTTGCTTCATAGGAAATTTCATATTTCATTGAGAACAATTTAACATTAAAGTTACAGACATAGATTCAATGCATGAGAAACATGACTAGGGTCAACGTCATTCTGGAGAAGAGTGGCAATATAAGAAATTTTTCATTTTGGAAGTGTGGCGATACAAGAAGGGCACAATTCCTATTCACCATTCCACGTGCTTGAGTGCACAAAAGAATTGAATAATCTGCAAACTGAACCAATCTGGCTTGTATAGATTGGGTTGGTTTGATTTGGTTTTAACAAAGGATTGTTTTGATTCTAGGTCTAAAAATGCCAACCAAGCGGTTTGATTCTCAAGTTAATGGTTTACAAAATTTTATAAATGGTATTGTTAATTTGTACATTCCAATGGTATTAGTTATGACTATGTTTTGAGTAGACATTTTTACTACACATGATCATTGTATCATTTTCATTTTTGCATTATAGAAATAACAAAAAAAAACACTAAGGAATAAACCAAGCTTTATACAATACAATAGACCCATCATGGCCAACAACAGCCAATCTGAATCGTCATGGATTGGGTAGGTTCATTCTACACTTTGGTTGGTCCAAACTTGGTCTAAAAATTGCAAATTGGCCAAGAATCCTGAAGTCAAATCGAACAGCTCTGCACTATGACACGGTATTCAATGAATACCCTGGATTTTTAAAATGTGTGTGTGTGTGTGAATCAGCCTAGTTTTCAATTATGAATGCCCTAAACCATTGCATTGAATACACAATTGGCTCATGTCACTTTTGTCGAACACCTAGCCCACTTTCTTGAACCCCAGCACAACTCACAGCCGGCTAACTCTTATATGATTTCAAAAGGTCAATTGTAAATGTTTATGTTATTTGTTGTAATGTAACAATAGAATTAATATATTAGAACTCCTTTTTTTTTCCATTTTTTTTCTTTTTTTGTGATTGCAAAATTTAATGATGTGTTTGATTGGGGAATTTGGAGAGGGATATGGAAAGGAAAATAGAAAAGGTATGTGAAATGTGAATAAAACATGCCTATATTTCACATAGTTTCACACACCTTTTCCCTTTCCCTTTCTAAATCCCTCCCCAAATCCCCGCAGCATAAAAGTGTAAGTTTTTGAATAAGGGGTTGTTTGAGATGATCTAAATAAGTGTACTTTTTGACTTTTTATGAAATATGGATTGGGTTTGGATTGGGTTTGAAATGATGTGTTAGAGAGGTGATGTGACTTAAATAAGATGATGTGACTTAAATAAGATAGTGACTTTTTAACTTTTTATCTTTTTCAAAACATGCCAAACTTGGCCTAAATAACTTGGGAAACACGGGGATGTGCACCATATGCACCTTATATCTGAAAAGAAAAATGACACAACTTCAATTTTCTGAGTCAAAACAAGAACAAAAAAAAAAAAAAGGAAAAAACGCCGTAACTAAACTAATATGAGGCATTACTAAAAAGCTGATGAGTCGTAACGAAAAAAGAAATTTGTAAATAACATAATTAGGGGCCTTTTTATTTGTTTTTAAGGGGTGTATACTAGAATTTCCCAAATATCTACATTTATATCTCTACAAATAACTTTGGACATAGTTTTTTCACTAACATAAATTACATCAATAACCCTACAAAATAATATTTAAACCGCCACATTTTTCATTCTTTACTTACAATAATTGTCGATCCCACCCCCTCAACCATTTGATGTATAGAAATCAAATTTGATCCTTTGTTTTAATTTTTGTTTTCAGAACCCCCAAACACAACCTAAAATTTATAAAAAAAATAATAAAAATTTAAAACCTAAATTAACAAAGATTTACTGAATAGTTAAGACTGAAAAGAGAACTTTAGCGGCAAAAAAAAGAAGATAGAGACAAAGGCATAAACACACACAGACACAGACACAGACACAGACACAGAGAGAGAGAGAGAGAGAGAGAGATTTACAGAGCTTGGACCCAACGGGGAGGAACATCGATGGAGGCAATGACGACGAGATCGGCATCGACGCCGAGTCTACGGAGAGATCTAAGCATGACACGTGTCGCGATGTAGAATTCGTAGTCTCTGGGTGTCCCCATATACATCATCGTCGCGTATGCGTTATTGTGCTCCCTTCGAAACGCCGTCGCTTCGTTTATCGTTGCTGAAAACATCATCACAACCAAGCTCAACAAAATCCCCAACTTCTTCTTCCTCCAACCCCCATCCTCCTCCGCCATTTTCTCTCACTTTCTCACCCGCCAAACAACCAAAATCAAAATCCTCCAAAACTTTTAGCAAATCAACATCCAAATCTCATCTCTCTCTGGCGATATAAGTTTACTCGCCGGCAATACATCGGAAAACCAGAGCACGAGGAACCCGGCCCCCAGACCCGAATCAATGGAATCAAAGATTATGTATAGAAACAGATATACACATTTATAGTGGAGAGAGAGAGAGAGAGAGAGAGAGAGATTGGTGTGGGTGAGAGTACAGAGTATTGGAGAGTAAAGTACTTATAGGATTTTAATTAATTAATTAATTGTTATTATTATTATTATTATTTATTTTTTTAATGGGTTAGTGCGGGTATACCTTGTATACCTTGTGGTGGTGTTTGGTTGTAATTAATTTGAGATAATTATTCAGTAATTTCATATATGAATTTATAATATTTTATAATATTATAATTAAGAAAGGGAATAAATAGGTGATATTATATTACATCACTTTAAAAAGTTAAAAAATTATTATTTTATTTAAGCTATATTATCTCATTTAAATCACATCACTTTTTTATTATATCACTTTAAATTTAATTTATATTTCATAAAAAAAATTAAAAAATATATTTATTTAAAACATTTCAAACAATCTTAAAATGATTAGAGAATATAATAAATATATTAAATGATAATTGGTACAGACATATATAATATTTTAATAATATTAAAATAATTTTCCATTAATTTGACTAATATGGACGGGGAGACCTTGCGAGGGAGAGTGGGTAGGAAGGTCAGATTCTACAAATCAATTTTTACAATTTTTTATTACACATTTTTCAATAAAAAGTCAAAAAGTTAACCCAAACATCCATATTTTCAACATCAATTTTTTAGTTCAGAAAGATAAAAAATACACTTTTTTTAGTCTTTCTAAACTTGACCCAAATATATTAAATGATAATTGGTACAGACATATATAATATTTTGAAAATATTAAAATAATTTTCCATTAATTTGACTAATATGGACGGGGAGACCTTGCGAGGGAGAGTGGGTAGGAAGGTCAGATTACGTGGAGATTCTTTTATGTAAGGTAGATGGTATTTGAGGGGTGTTGGATATAATTATAGATTAGCCGCGTAAACCGTAGCACGCGCTTATCTGTCTGAAAATTAGTGTGGTCAGGTCAGTCCGGCCGCAGTCAAAATGGTTCTGAAACTAGCCTACTCCAATTCTTCATGAAATTCGTTAGAGTGAACAAGTGGAGGAGTCGGAGATTATTGGAGTGCCAAGCAAAGTTCATGTGGCCGATTGTGGTGGTGGTTGGTAGATGGAGGCGGACAGAAGGGAGTTGAAAAAATAACAGCGATTTAGAGTATTAACTTTAATGTTTTAATAGAATATGAATGTCATGATGAGAAAAAAAAATATAAAAAAATTAAATTAAGATCAAAACATTACATTACAATAAATAAAGTCTATTATCAACTCATTAGAATTTGATGGGGGACCTTAATGTTTTAATAGAATATTAATGACATGATGAGAAAATAAAAATAAAAAAATTAAACGAAGATCAAAATATCGCATTACAGTAAATAAAGTCTGTTGGAAATGATTATAAAATTCTGGATAAAATCAGAATTTTTTCCTAAGTTCGGTCTATTTTTTAGGTGGACTCCGTGCGTCGATTTTCACGGGTCAAAGTAATAACGCGTTCTATGCCACGTTGTGATTCACGTGGTATATTTGGTTGTTCAAAACTATTACCGAGTGAATGGGAAATTGAAGTCAAAGTGTGCTCCATAGAAATAGAGTTTTTGTGGAAATTCCTTAAGGTTGTAAAATGGCTTGTCCCACATTGATTTGGTGGGAGGTTTTGAATGGGTTTATAAGGCTTGGGTTTAGTACTTAAGGTGTGCCCCAAGGGGTACCCAAGTGTTTTATGAGGATATGATTTTGTCAAAACATTAATTCTGACTTGAGTAGTCATAATTATTTTGGTTTTTTCTTGAATTTGTTTTAAAATTCATTGATTTATATTGGAAGCGATAGGGGTGGTGAATATGATACACCATTAAATGAATTTTGTGCACAACATGGCATTATTCACCAAACTACAGCCCCTTATTCTCCACAGCAAAATGGAATTGCTGAAAGGAAGAATAGAACCCTCAAAGAAATGATGAATGCCATGTTACTAAGTTCAGGCTTACCACAGAACTTGTGGGGGGAAGCAATATTGTCTACTAATTATTTTCTTAATAGAATACCCCACAAGAAAACCAACAACACTCCTTATGAATTGTGGAAAGGTCGACCGCCTTCCTACCAATACTTAAAAGTGTGGGGGTGTTTGGCAAAAGTTGAAGTTCCTGTTCCTAAAAAGACTAAAATTGGACCAAAAACAGTAGATTGTGTGTTTATTGGTTATGCTCAGAATAGTAGTGCATATCGGTTTCTGACTTATAAATCAAAAATACCTGATATAGATGTGAACACTATTATAGAGTCAAGGAATGTTGTGTTTTTTGAACATGTCTTTTCTTACAAGAAAGGATAGGAATTAAGTTCACAGAAAAGAACTTATGATTGTACACAAAGTCAAGAGACTAATGGCAATCAAACACAAGAGACTAGTAATAGTCTTGACCAACGGGATTTAACTGATGATGAACCAAGACGAAATAAGAGAGCGAGAACTTCAAAATCCTTTGGTCCAGATTTTCTGACATACCTGTTAGAAAATGAACCTCAAAGCTTTAAGGCAGCAATGACAGGTCCTGAAGCACCTTTGTGGAAAGAGGCTGTTAATAATGAAATTGAATCCATTATATAAAATCATACTTGGAAATTGGTGGATCTTCCACCAGGTTCTAAACCTCTTGGATATAAATGGATATTCAAGAGAAAAATGAAAGCAGATGGTTCAATTGACAAGTATAAAGCACGACTTGTAGTTAAAGGTTACAGACAGAAGAAAGGTTTGGATTTTTTTGACACATATTCCCTTGTGACAAGAATAACATCCATTCACATGCTTATTTTTATAGCAGCGTTGTTTAATTTAGAAATACATCAAATAGATGTTAAGACAGCTTTCTTAAATGGTGATCTAAATGCAGTGATCTATATGGAGCAATCCGAAAGGTTTGTAGTGTCGGGGCAAGAAAAGAAAAATTTTCGACTTGTAAAATCCCTTTATGGATTAAAACAAGCACCTAAACAATGACATGAAAAATTTGATCATGCAATGCTTACCAATGGGTTTAAGATAAACGAATGTGGCAAATGCGTCTATGTTCAAAATACTGACCAAGGATATGTCATAATTTGTCTTTATGTGGATGACATGCTTATTATTGGAAGTAGTCAAAACATTATCAAATCAACTAAGCTGATGCTTAACAAAAGATTTGATATGCAAGATATGGGGGTCGCAGATGTTATATTAGGAATGAAAATTACTAAAACATCTGACGGATATGCATTATCTCAATCTCATTATATTGAGAAAATTCTTGATAAATTTATCAAGGATAATTTGAATTTAGCTAGAACACCTGTAGATATTAGTCTTTATTTATCGAAAAATGAAGATGATGCTGTGTCTTAGTTAAAATACTCCCAAATCATTGGAAGCCTAATGTACCTAATGAATATTACTCGTCCTGATATAGCTTATGCTATCAGTAAATTGAGTAGGTACACTAGTAACCCCGGAGAAGACCATTGGAAAGCGATCATTCGGGTTCTTAGATATCTAAGATTTACCCGTGATCATGGTTTGAACTTTACTCGATATCCAGCAATACTTGAAGGTTATTGTGATGCAAATTGGATATCGGATACTAAAGATTCAAAATCCACAGGTGGATATGTCGTTACTCTAGGAGGTGCTGCTGTTTCTTGGAAATCCACGAAACAAACTTGCATCGCACGATCCACAATGGAATCCGAGTTTATTGCCTTGGACAAAGCAGGAGAAGAAGCAGAATGGCTTCGTCACTTCTTAGAAGACATTCCAATGTGGCCAAAACTTGTGCCAGCTATTTGCATTCATTGTGATAGTCAATTTGCAATAGGCAGAGCACAGAATCATATGTATAACAGAAAGTCACGACATATTCGTTGTCGACATAATATCGTAAGGCAATTGTTGTCAAACGGAATAATTTCAATAGATTATATAAAATCTAAAGAGAATATTGCGGATCCGTTAACAAAAGGTTTGACAAAAGAGCTAGTGTATAGTTCATCAAAGGGGATGAGATTAAAGCCTATTACATAAGAGTCGTCATAATGGTAACCCTACTTATATGACTGGAGATCCCAAGAACTAAGTTCAAAGGGACAACTAAGTTATGTATGGCTCGCCAGAAATCACCAAAGGGATTAAAATTCCCTACCCATTCCTATGGTGAGGGTGATATCTGTAACATATGTTGTCTGCAGAGGTATAAGGATATAAGGAGATACTCACAATAAGAATCACCTATATAAGTGTTGAACTGGGGCCGGTTCTATGAGAATGAAGAGGCTAAATTCTCTAGAAACACTTATGAAAACCAGGCGCGTTCAAGGCCAAAATGAACACAACAGTGAGAACCACGATGTGTTAGAAGATATTTTGTGTGAAATCTATTGTCTTGGCTTACATAAACGGCTGAACAATTCAAGGCATCACGTCCATTGGTTAGCCAGTAAGTTCGATAGGTTATCACTAGGGAAGGTTCAAGGCCGAAAACTACCTATCCTGATGTAAGATATTTTCGACTTATACTCTTTCGATAAATCTGCATTTTGTTGCATTTCCGTTGTCATCAAATTCCATTCATGTAGGGGATTGTTGGAAATGGTTATAAAATTCTGGATAAAACCAGAATTTTTTCTTAAGTTCGGTCTATTTTTTAGGTGGGCTCCGTGCGTCGATTTTCACGGGTCAAAGTGGTAACGCGTTCTATGCCGCGTTGTGATTCGCATGGTATATTTGGTTGTTCAAAACCATTACTGAGTGAATGGAAAATTGAAGCCAAAGTGTGCTCCATAGAAATGGAGTTTTGGTGGAAATTCCTTAAGGTTGTAAAATGGCTTGTCTCACATTGATTTGGTGGGAGGTTTTGAATGGGTTTATAAGGCTTGGGTTTGGTACTTGGGGTGTGCCCCAAAGGGTACCCAAGTGTTTTAGAGGGAGAGGTTATGGGCAAAATGGGCTTGACCCATTAGACCCAAAAATCACCACACACGCGCGCGCGCGCCAT